ATTTTGAGAAACACTCCTCCCCCTTGCTAGGAGAGCTCAGGTTCAAAGTGCCTCTATGAAGACGTGCTAAAGGAGTGATGGCAAGACAAACTCATTAAACAAGTGTGTACATATCTAAGTGAATGCATGCTTAAGCAGCCTCAGTGTGACATGTTTATCTACCGTGCTAATTTCATATTCCATCCTAACGTTTGAAATTCGCGATTGATAGGCTTTTTTCTCGAGAATGATTGTGGGACTGTGCAGGTCGCCGACATGCTAAAGAAAGGAGATCCACGAATGCCATGTAATTCTGTAGGTATTATCCGGACATCTCATACTGACTGCTGCCACAGCCTTGACTCTGACAAGTCAAGCTCATGGGTGGGTGTTGCCACGTTGTAGGTGCAGAATCTGACGTGGTTCGTCAGCATCAAGATCAGCCATTGCATTCAATGCCATGGCCACAATAACCAACTGAAGAAAAAGAAACTTGGCGAGAAGGGTGTGTTGTAATTACATCTTGCATGAACTTCTTGCAGATTGGTCGGACATCTTTGCTGAGAGTGGCGCTGAACATCATCACTTGTTTCTCATGTGGTGTGAGGCGGAAAATTTCTTGGACATCTCGTCTCATATCTGAAGCAAGATTGTACCTTTTCACTTTCAGCTCAAATGAACAAGTCATAGGTAAACTTGCAACTCACACAAAAACATTGTTTGGAAAAAGACCAAAAATGTGTCTGACAAAAAGTTAAAACTAATTTGTAAATTTATTTCTGAAATTCAGTACATACCCTTCCACTACAAGAGGTTCTAATCTCTCGAAAGACATACTGACTTCATATCCAGAAATTAAAATGGGTCAAAAATGAAAAATAATCTAATCTATCAACAGCTGAATTTTGGACATAGAAGACTCGTTTCATCAGCAAAGTTACAACTGTTTCACGATAGGGAAGTTACCCTTATTATGGGGTAAAATAACTCACCCAATTCCGCCAGCATCTTGTCACACTCGTCCAGGATGAAGTGCTTGATATGCTTCAGACTGAGCGTCTTGTTGCGTGTGAGGGCAAGGATACGACCGGGGGTTCCCACCACAATGTGAGGGCAGTTCTTCTTCAGCACTTCCTCGTCTTTCTTCACAGACATTCCACCGAAGAAGACAGCAATCTTGACATTGTTCATGTACTTGCTGAACCTCTCGTACTCCTTGCTGATTTGGAAAGCCAGCTCACGAGTGTGGGCAAGAACCAAAACTGATACCTGAAAATCGAAAGCATAGTTTGTCACTTGTCCAAAAATAAAGGTGCAGAACTAAGAGTTCTGGGGTCTACAAAGTTAACCAATTTAGTGTTTCAATCTTGGGTCCACAAATTTCGTTATATCCAAACATTATGGTTATGGCAGAGTCCAGTGACTTTCTTGCTCATTTTCAAACACTGAATTAAAAACAAAATGACCACAATATCTTGAAATGAAAGGTTTTCTCAAACATAATATGCCTAGAAAGTTTTTCTCTCATACTAACATTTAATATAATGTGTGTATCAGCTACAGAGAGAGTATCCTGTTGTAAGGTAACGCCAACAAACTGACAATCAGTACTTCTAAATAAATCCAACAGTGTTCAAACGAAATGGAGACGCTACACAGCAGTATTTATTTCATGGAAATTGACTTACCTGTCCGTCAACAGGCTCGAGTTGTTGAAGTGTGGCCAGCACAAACACAGCTGTCTTCCCCATGCCAGACTTAGCCTGGCACAACACGTCCATGGAGAGGATGGCCTGGGGGATACACTCATGCTGAACTGAAACAAGACCGGCACGAATAATGCACTTTTCGTGTGGTTGTATCCTCATATGCATAGATGTGCGATAAAGTTCATTGATCACAACACATGTTACATAACATTTCCTCTGTTTTTATCATCACATTTGATTACAACATACGGAACAAACAATTGTCTTTAACTTTCACTGAGCTGCTTGCCCAAACTTTCACTCATCCTGAGGCATGGTTTCGTGCATTGCAAATAATATTCCAGCCATATCACATGAGGGGTCACCAAGAACAGGCCACACAACTTGTACCCATCTGGGGAATTGAACCCTGATATTTGGCATAACTGAACACCAAAACTACTTGGCTACTCTACTGCCCCATACTGATGACTCAAAATACAGTATTCTGTAACATTCTTTTATATGAATGAATTCTTCAGCTGTAAGAGGCACTAATTTGACAAGACCAATACCTTCTGACGGATGCTCAAAACCACAGTCTACAATAGCTCGCAGCAGTTCTGGTTTCAGCAGGAAGTCTCGGAAGCCCGAGCTGTGTATGGATACGTATGTTCCCTTGACATCTTTCTTGGCTGGCCCATCTCCAGCGGCCCCCTCTGTGGTGGTCTCATTCTCCTCCTCCTCGTAGTCCAAGATCTCATTCTCAACTTCGTTATCTGCCATCTTTGATTTCTAAGAACAAGAAATATTTCTAAGTAACATTTCAGAAGAACAGATGCCATTTCAAGCTAAAGCAAAATTGCCAGTGTCTGAGCTCAGAAATAATTTCAAACAATTCAGACAAAAAACAATATGACTAAGCTTCGCAACAGAAAGCACCTTTCAGACAGATCAGATAAACCAGGGATTATTGTTTGAGCAGCTTCCAACACATTCATGGTATGCAGCAGTAAAAAGTAACATTTTTAGTCCACTAGTCCTTATAATGATAATATTTAACAAAACCCTTAAAAATGGCATTTTTTTACTAGTCCTTATATATACCCGTATTCGACGTAATAAGCGCCCAGGGCGCTCTCAAAATTAGAAATAGGGGGCTCTTTTTTGAATATTATATTGGTGGAAAAAACCAGAGTAACAGGATAAATTTCGTGGTTTATGCTGACAGCCTGAAATGTTTATATACGACATATATTTTTCCAGAATTTAATTGCCCATAATTAAAGGTGCATATAACACACGAGTGCCTATTATACGCGAATAAATAAGTCTTGTGTACATGATCAATCGGAAGGGGTGCTAATTGGGATTGTTCACTAGCTAATATATAAGCAATTATCGCCGTGGGCGCTTATTACGTCGAATACGACTTTAACTATTGGGCAGTTTGGCAAGGACTATAGGACTAGTGCCAATTTCTACCGCTGGTACGATACACTTTTTACCAAATGAACCTAGTCACCAAGTCAGGGCCCTGGATCTATCAAGTCGTCTCTTATGACCATTATGGGTTGCATGGGTCCAATTCTAACCCAGCAACACCCGTGTTTCAGATACGATTACATAGTAACCATCTTTGCAAGTAAATCATTATGTGGCAAGATAATAATTACAACAATGTCAGTCTGTAACTTGAGAAAATTGTGTGAAGCCCAGGTCTACGTGACCTATTCAAATTTTGTTTGGTCAACAAGCCAGTAAATTTTTAAAATTCTAATGGAAACGTGAAGTTCAATATGCCGGGCCCCAATTACTTCCCTTACTCAAAGTATATCGATAATCAATTCAACTTTGCCACCTATTCATGCACAGTACAGTTCACTTTCTGGTAATTATAGCCTTAAGATAAAGCAACTTTTAGTGTCTCCTACTTCAATAGTGTTAGAAACAACTCTCTGATCACAAGTATTAGAAAAAACTTTAGTAATTTTATCGATTCCTACACATAACCTGTTTTGAACAATGGAAAGTACATGTGCTTAAGCTACCTGGATATTATTTCAAAAATGCATATTGAATGTCCTTCAAGTTATTTTGTATCAATATGACTCAAGAAATGCTCAAAACACTACCTGAATAAAGTACACTGGCATCATATTGACCTGCTGCTTTAGTTAGCTTGATTGTACTGGAATTATTGCACAATTTCTACTTGCTGCATATTATATAGGCCTAGTGTCTGTATCAAAATAGAACTTATATCATTCTAGTTACTAAGAACTATATATAGGACTACATTAGAACACTTCAGCATTTTCTATTTCAGATTCCACAACAGTCTATCCTGGTTTGTTTGGACAGAATTGATTGGCACTGATGTATAAATAGGGTTAAATACATAAACTGTGTTTGGTCACATTGGCGTTTTAGTCGAGGTACTTTTGGGGTCTGCCGAAGATTAGCCAATATATTTTCAGCTCATTAACTCATGATTTGAGTTGACTACTGAATGCTTTTAGTTTCCGATTCATTATTCATACATGTGAATTGATTCAGTCACGACTACTGCAGTATAAGATGCATAAAGAGCTGCTCTTTCGTATTAAGATATACCAAACAAAAAATATAGGCGTCCTTATCTGAACAGGAGCAAACTTGACCGAACAAGCTGCTGCCTTCTTTGTGTTTGGAACTGAGGATTTCGTGTCGAATTTATACATTACGGCATCATTCAAGATCTTTGACGATCATAGCTGGCACATAAAACATTTTGAATCACCATCTTACTCACAAATCCACTAGGAAGTGTTAAATACAAACGTAATTTGGAAGTATATGTACTATCGACCTAGATACCACGTCGCCATTTTGAAACTTTCCACATTACATTCGTACGAAGACACAAGTGAGGACTACTTCAACTGCAATACACACTCATTACATGAAAATAAACGTTCACATTTGTACGAAAGATATTGCCGTAAACTATCGTTACAAATTAAGAAGGATTGAAACTGCTTCAGCAACGGATGGCTTCGGATAAACGTTTACCTTGTAAAGGAACTGCCACGCACTTGTTTGATGGTAATGTTACTTCCGGTTCAGTACGCAGTTAATGGGGACCAGCTAAAATAACTTCATTGAGTTTTCTTCTTATTTAAAAAAATAAATATACAGGAAACGATGCAATTAACGTAAGGCACTTGTATTATTATTGCAACAATCATTTTTATCACTAAACATTCTTATAACGTATGGTGACTGTACATGAGTCGTTTTACGACACTTATTCTTATCATCGCGAAACTCACAGATGAGACGCCCCCCATGGGTCAATAACTACATGTCACATGACAGTAAAATGGCGGATGGGGACGATTTGGACGAGGATAGGAAAACTATAGATGTTAATGACAGTGCTGTCGAAATGAACGAAGAGGATGACGGAGACGATTTGTATGATGGAAGTGATCTTGAAAGTCTTGTCGATGGCTGTGCCCAAGGTCTTTATGAGAATATTTTGCCATGAAAATAGACTGCTTTGGCTGAGCTAATTTGTCATTTTGATAACAGGAATCTGACATATTGATGATTCCATAGATCTACATGAGTATGTGTAAGGAATCACCACTTTGTAAAATATATCTCCTTGCATCATGGTTAAAATTAATCATATTTCAGGTATGATTCTATATGAAGGCTATTTTATCACTGAAATATAAGATTTCAAATGTTTTGACTTTGTCGACAGGTCAACTTCAAATATGAAATTTGACAGTTAAATCGAGAGAGGACAAGTTTGTTTAGTGATAAATTTAGTAATTGTTTTGTTATAAGTGTACGTTGATGACAAATGAAAATTTCAGTTACCAACAGATTCCATGCCTACACCATCAGTGGTAACATTGGACATGAGTCTCAGGTTTACTCTAACTCATGGATACAAGCCGATCTGTACGCGCGGAGATTTGTTCCCAGTGTAAATGGCTAATCTGTACTAAAAGTTCTTGTAATATTCATACCTGTTTTGGTGAATTCACACTTTATTTGGATGACCTGTACCCAAATTTGGATGACTTATACTTAATTTGGATGGCCCGTACCCATAACTTTTTAAAACAACATGTCTGAAATAGGATTTCTTTAACCGGATTAGACTGTAAAAATGATAAAATATTTATGTTTCTAATAATTTATTCAGCACTAAGTTCTCATGTATTCTGAAATGCAATTTATTCATAGCCCTGTTACATATATTACATTTCAAGTATTCCTTTATTAGTTTCATTCAATTGATAGTGAATAAACAATCAACCTATTAACCCACTCAATGTCTGTGATTTGTCCTCAAGAGGCCTTAGTTGAATACTTGCTTAATCCGTTTAATCAATATGTTGCGATAAAGTAGGTACTTTTCAGAAGCGACTGGAATAATTAATTACTTGTTTAATTAAACAATTTTGTGTATTTTGCTCAGGTGCTTTTCTTGTTTAATAAATAATTGATACTAGCAATTGCACATTTTAAATTAATTTATCTTACTTCAATGAAAAAATCTTGACCTCAGTAAAATTTTAGGATCTGGATATTCAATCTGGATATTATGTGAAGTCCGCCGACAGTAATTTGTTCATGTATGGGTACAATATTTGAGACCTGTTTCTGGTCTCTCAAGCTGTGATATTGCAGGAACCCCATTGGGATTCTGGGTTAGAATAGGTCCACAGCAACCTATTCTGGTTGAGAGATGACCAAATGAATCCGGTGGTCAGACTCGGTGACTTGAGTTATAGCCGGCATCATACCCTGATGACGATATCAATCACTGGATGGTCTGGTCAAGACTTGAATGTTCACAGGCCACTGTCATATAGCTGGACTATTGCTGAGTGTGGCATAAAAGACAGACTCAGTCACTCACTTAATTCATGATAATGTCTATTCCATCTTTTCAGAATATAGTGATCTGAACAACACATTGGACAAACTGGATGAATGTCTGAACACTTTGGAAGAGAGAAGCGATGATCTTTATTCCAAGTTCAAGGACCTTCTAGAGTCCAGTCGGCAGGCGAGGCAGGAACTGGAGGAGGAACGTCGTAAAGGTGAAGATGGCAACGTCCCAGACAGTGAAACAAAGGATAGTTCATAGTCCATCATCAACGCCATGTGTCATTCTGGACCACTCTGAATACAGTGACCACAACAGGGATAAACCTTTAAGGTCATCATCAAGGGTTATCTGAAGACTTTCAGACCTGTATCATCATGTGACCTATATCATCAATAATTCATAATGGAATTCCTATGTTGTTACACTGCACTAAGTGAACAAATATATTTCTAGGATGAAGATTGCTAAGCACAACATAATAAATTCTTTTCTACTGTTTATGTACAAATAGCTCCGTAGTTAGTCACATAGCAGAACAGGGGTGTCTTTCATCCTTTTATGTTTTAAGTATTTGGGTTATTTCTCCTGTATTTGGGCATTCTGGTTGTAGTAATTAAGATGAGATATGATAATACTTTATTACTTGATTAAGGAATTTCTGAAGTGTGTGATGAATGAGAGTATCTTGATTTAAGGTATGTATTAAAAGGACATTTCTCCCACCATAATCAGTAATCTTGACAATGTCACTGGGATGAACACCTTCCAGATCAGGTTTCATTGCACAGAGCTTCAGGTAAGCTGCATATTTGTGTGAAATACACAGACTCACCATAACCTAGGGCTGAGACGAGTCTAAATTTACCCTGGGTACCCGACCCACCCCGGTACCCACTGTAGGTCTCAAGTTGGGTACAAAATGTGCGATTGTTTTACAGGAGCCCTGGCAAAAACTAGGGAGACCCACTTATAAAACGATCTGATATGAAGCTTTATTTTTATTTAAACATATAAAATTCAGAAGCAATGCAAACTTTTCTAACTTGTAACCATGGAGTTTTTGGACCTATCAACCAAATTTTTCACCATAAAAATTTGTAAACCCAAACCAAAACATCTGGCCTTACAGCAGGTCGAAAATTAAATTGAGTCAGCTCTCTGCATTCCATTTCAACCATGAATGACTGGAGGGTATTGAGGTAGTTCTAGTCAGGTCTGAAATGTCTATTTTCATCATTGTGATGCTTTGTTTATCTGCAAGGTTTGATCATTTTGAAAGAGGATATGGTTGCACAGTGAATGTGTTACAAATGATAATTTTAAAACATTAAACAGCACTTATCCACTGACTCTGATACAAATGGGCACAAGCCGGCTTGCCAGTTTGCCTGTTAAAGCACTATGGCTGGGACGAGTCCAAATATACTACCCCTCTATTCCCTGACCCTACCCGGGTACCCACTGTAGGTCTCAAGAGATACAAAATGTCCGATTGGGAATTCTTTTGAACCACAGCACTTGCAAAACAAATTTTGATGCATGCATTTATCGATCTGGTCATGCATCCACTGAAGTTGACTTAAGTTATATCTTTATTCAACCATATGAAAAGTCAGAAGGAATGGGTGCATAGTCAGAAAGAAATGCGAACATAAGGGACTTGTAGTGTAACCATAGAGTTCTAGATAATTTTTGTAATTAAACTATATATCACATGACTAACCACGGGTCCGGGTAGTCCTGTGGGTACCCGGGTCCTACTCAGTACCCACCCCACCTGGGTACCCGAGTTAACCGTCCCAGCCCTATAAAGCACATCTTCCTAAGGCAAGGGAGTTAACTGAATGTAAATGTCCAGTTTCCATCCTTGCCAAACTAGACTGGAACTTCTGGGCGCAATAGTAGTGCCACCATTAGCTATAATGAGTTCTATGTCCTTCCTATTGACCAATCAGATTCCACTTCTCAATCACTTGCACATGTTTCAAACAAAATGGTGGTGCCCAGTCAGGACAATCTGATTTATATTCAATACCTATATTGTAGAAAAACTGGTCTTACTTCACAAAGAGCATCAAATCACGTAAGCAGCTTGATTAAAAACTTGAAAACATTTGTAAATTATCTATTGACAATGAGTTGGTGGTACACATGCTTTGCAAATCCTGCAATCGACCAAAATTTGCACGGCAGTTTACAAACCGGATGTTGATTTTTTACGTGATTTTGATGGGACTATGCATAGACTCAATAGTCCAGCCAAAATGTGACTCCATTATTCCAGTCGAGTTCGGCAAGGGTGGAAACTGGACTTTTATAGTCAGTTAACTCTCTTGCCTCGGGAAGAAACTGGACTTTTATAGTCAGTTAACTCCTATGAGTATACCCAAGGCTAGGGTGTGAAACAGAATCCATGAGGGGCAAAAGGCAAAATAGCAGATAAAGAGAATTGGTCCCTTAAATCTGTGACGCCACCAAGTATTTGCTAAAAGAGTAAGCATGTAAACAGTGTGTTGTGGGTAACTCAAAATTGTTGCTCCTTACTGTGAGAAAAATTGTACATCTTGAAGCCAGTTGATGTCGGTCCCTTAAACCTGTTACAATCTAACCTACCTGTCTTACAGGAAACATATACAGAGTCTGTGCTGCATAGTATAATATTGTATTTGGAACTTTTAGTCAAGAATATGTGATTTCTGGTGATGTTATGAGTGATTGTTTCTGTGATAAGTGTTCTCTGTGTATGTTTTGTTTTAAGTGAATGTGCTGGGAATGTTTATTTACATATTGTTGGAATTTAATCATTTCAATGTTTTCATTGAATAAAATCTGTCAGTTGTCTAACCAGTATATTATGTGATATTTATCAATAAAATTACATGAAGAATGTCGCTGATGTGAGTTGAGTTATTGTTGTGTACAGCTCACCAGATGACTTGGGAGATTAAAATGCAAATATTGTAAGTCAGTCGAATCGGTGGTAAATATTTGTCATGATAAATATATAAAACTTGCCATGGAAACTTGAAAAATAATGGTTTAACAAATCCCAAACCATCAAAAGGCACCAGTTTACCACTAGACCTATCTATGTGCCAAGTTTGGGGAAGAAATATTGAACGGTTTTCAAGATCTTCTCTGAAAATGACATCTTGCACAGATGGACGGACGGTGTCCATTTAATACCCCCAGCAAAATGAGTTGCTGGGGATAATAAGAATGATGTTCTTTGAAGCTGTGTGTGCCTTTTCCAGAAACCTGATGATATGGAGCATGGAGTTAATCATTTATCTACATGTACAGTTGGCTGAACCACATGTCAACATCACCTGGTCTGTCCTTTGCACATCTCCCAACCACCATTCCTTCCTTCACACATCTCCCAACAGCCGTTCCTTCCTTAACACATCTCCCAACAGCCATTCCTTCCTTCACACATCTCTCAACATCCATTCCTTCCTTCACACATCTCCCAACAGCCGTTCCTTCCTTCACACATCTCCCAACATCCATTCCTTCCTTCACACATCTCCCAACAGCCATTCCTTCATCCACACATCTCTCAACAGCCATTCCTTCCTTCACACATCTCCCAACAGCCGTCCTTCCTTAACACATCTCCCAACAGCTATTCCTTCATCCACACATCTCTCAACAGCCATTCCTTCCTTCACACATCTCTCAACAGCCATTCCTTCCTTCACACATCTCCCAACAGCCGTCCTTCCTTAACACATCTCCCAACAGCCATTCCTTCATCCACACATCTTTCAACAGCCATTCCTTCCTTCACACATCTCCCAACAGCCGTCCTTCCTTAACACATCTCCCAACAGCCATTCCTTCATCCACACATCTCTCAACAGCCATTCCTTAACACATCTCCCAACAGCCGTTCCTTCCTTCACACATCTCCCAACATCCATTCCTTCCTTCACACATCTCCCAACAGCCATTCCTTAACACATCTCCCAACAGCCATTCCTTCCTTCACACATCTCTCAACAGCCATTCCTTAACACATCTCCCAACAGCCGTTCCTTCCTTCACACATCTCCCAACATCCATTCCTTCCTTCACACATCTCCCAACAGCCATTCCTTCCTTCACACATCTCCCAACAGCCATTCCTTCATCCACACATCTCTCAACAGCCATTCCTTAACACATCTCCCAACAGCCGTTCCTTCCTTCACACATCTCCCAACATCCATTCCTTCCTTCACACATCTCCCAACAGCCATTCCTTCCTTAACACATCTCCCAACAGCCATTCCTTCATCCACACATCTCTCAACAGCCATTCCTTCCTTCACACATCTCCCAACATCCATTCCTTCCTTCACACATCTCCCAACATCCATTCCTTCCTTCACACATCTCTCAACAGCCATTCCTTCCTTCACACATCTCCCAACAGCCGTCCTTCCTTAACACATCTCCCAACAGCCATTCCTTCATCCACACATCTCTCAACAGCCATTCCTTCCTTCACAATCTCCCAACAGCCATTCCTTCCTTCACACATCTCCCAACATCCATTCCTTCCTTCACAATCTCCCAACAGCCATTCCTTCCTTAACACATCTCCCAACATCCATTCCTTCCTTCACACATCTCCCAACATCCATTCCTTCCTTCACACATCTCCCAACAGCCATTCCTTCATCCACACATCTCTCAACAGCCATTCCTTCACACATCTCCCAACAGCCATTCCTTCACACATCTCCCAACAGCCGTTCCTCCACACATCTCCCAACAGCCATTCCTTCACACATCTCTCAACAGCCATTCCTTAACACATCTCCCAACAGCCATTCCTTCCTTCACACATCTCCCAACATCCATTCCTTCCTTCACACATCTCCCAACAGCCATTCCTTCCTTCACACATCTCCCAACATCCATTCCTTCCTTCACACATCTCCCAACATCCATTCCTTCATCCACACATCTCCCAACAGCCATTCCTTCATCCACACATCTCTCAACAGACATTCCTTAACACATCTCTCAACAGACATTCCTTAACACATCTCTCAACAGACATTCCTTAACACATCTCCCAACAGACGTTCCTTAACACATCTCCCAACATCCATTCCTTCCTTCACACGTCTCCCAACATCCATTCCTTCCTTCACACATCTCCTAACAGCCATTCCTTCATCCACACATCTCTCAACAGCCATTCCTTCCTTCACACATCTCCCAACAGCCGTCCTTCCTTAACACATCTCCCAACAGCCATTCCTTCATCCACACATCTCTCAACAGCCATTCCTTCCTTCACAATCTCCCAACAGCCATTCCTTCCTTCACACATCTCCCAACATCCATTCCTTCCTTCACAATCTCCCAACAGCCATTCCTTCCTTAACACATCTCCCAACATCCATTCCTTCCTTCACACATCTCCCAACATCCATTCCTTCCTTCACACATCTCCCAACAGCCATTCCTTCACACATCTCTCAACAGCCATTCCTTCCTTCACACATCTCCCAACAGCCATTCCTTCACACATCTCCCAACAGCCGTTCCTTCCTTCACATATCTCCCAACAGACGTTCCTTAACACATCTCCCAACAGACGTTCCTTCACACATCTCCCAACAGCCATTCCTTCACACATCTCCCAACATCCATTCCTTCCTTCACACATCTCTCAACAGCCATTCCTTCACACATCTCCCAACATCCATTCCTTCCTTCACACATCTCCCAACAGCCATTCCTTCACACATCTCTCAACAGCCGTTCCTTCACACATCTCCCAACATCCATTCCTTCCTTCACACATCTCCCAACAGCCATTCCTTCACACATCTCCCAACAGCCATTCCTTCACACATCTCCCAACATCCATTCCTTCCTTCACACATCTCTCAACAGCCATTCCTTCACACATCTCCCAACATCCATTCCTTCCTTCACACATCTCCCAACAGCCATTCCTTCACACATCTCTCAACAGCCGTTCCTTCACACATCTCCCCAAGGGCCGTCCATTTTAATACCCCCAGCAAAATGAGTTGCTGGGGATAATAAGAATGATGTTCTTTGCAGCTGTGTGTGCCTTTTCCAGAAACCTGATGATATGGAGCATGGAGTTAATCATTTATCTACATGTACAGTTGGCTGAACCACATGTCAACATCACCTGGTCTGTAATTTGCACATCTCCCAACCGCCATTCCTTCCTTCACACATCTCCGTAACAGCCGTTCCTTCCTTAACACATCTCCCAACAGCCATTCCTTCCTTCACACATCTCCCAACATCCATTCCTTCCTTCACACATCTCCCAACATCCAGTCCTTCCTTCACACATCTCCCAACAGCCGTTCCTTCCTTCACACATCTCCCAACATCCATTCCTTCCTTCACAATCTCCCAACAGCCATTCCTTCCTTCACACATCTCCCAACAGCCGTTCCTTCCTTAACACATCTCCAAACAGCCATTCCTTCCTTCACACATCTCCCAACATCCATTCCTTCCTTCACACATCTCCCAACATCCATTCCTTCCTTCACACATCTCCCAACAGCCGTTCCTTCCTTCACACATCTCCCAACAGCCATTCCTTCCTTCACACATCTCCCAACATCCATTCCTTCCTTCACACATCTCCCAACAGCCGTTCCTTCCTTCACACATCTCCCAA